ATCATCATCATCATCATCATCATCATCACTTTTACATTTCCTTCAGTGTTAAGGTGGTCAGTCATTGAATCCTTGAAACCATTAAATATTCTACCAAAGTATTCATGTTCTCTGTGTTGTTCTCACCTGTAGCTAAGTGTCACTTTGCTGCTCCTATCAGATCAAATTAGATGCTCCTATTTTGGTGTAATCAGCATGTAAAGGGAAAAGAGTTAGAGCGTTTTTGTATCTTTTTGATTTTTGGAGGTTTGTTTTTAATGATTGTCGCAATTACACTATCTCCCCCTCCGCCCCCCCCCCAAAATTGCAAAAGGTCCCTGCCACGAACAGTAATCGCTGGAGAGTGGTGCTGAAAGGACAGCTCTCTTCCTCCGCGTCTCTTAAAAAGAGAAGCAAAGCGAGGAGCCTCTTTCTGGTTCACCTTGGGAGTCATAGAAGGGCCAGTTGAAGAGTCGCCTGCTTAAAGCAGCAGTGGTTTCTTCCTTTGCTGGGAGCCCATTATGTTGATACGCTTTCCACTCCCCATGTTTTTGTGGTGGTTTTTCTCTGCCTGATGCTAAAGCGTCTCATCTATTTTTCACAAGGACAGGAGATAGGTTTCCTAGCAGCAGGTGGGGGTTGCTTTTATTGCGTTCGGAGCTGGCAGTCAAGGGCGCTGGAATGGCCACCTGAAGATGGACGGAAAAGCCGCACAAGGAGGAATTCTTTGTTTGGAACGGACACACAAGGAGTCTGGAGGCAACTGAGAAAGGACAGAGAGCGGCTGGAACGTGAAGAAAAGCCTCTTTCTCTCCGTGATTAAGGTATTGAGATGGATTTGAAAATAAGGGGGGAGGGGAGCGACCATCACAAGATGTTTCTGTTAAACAATTGACAAATAAAATCTAGTATTGGCGATAGGAATGTGCTGGTAAGGTTACATTGGTTCTATTTAGGGTGTGCCCACAGAACGACTTGCTGGGGAGGGGCGTAAAGACTGTTTTTGTCACCAGTCAAGCTCTGGTATTTTCCACCTGGAGGTCTTCTTTTAAAATTAGAAGATGAACAGATGACGCCCTTGAGTTTAGGCAACTTGATCTCAAGAATTCCAAAGAGGAAATATGAGTAAGGTTGACCAAGCTGACGGCTGCTAAAGGGAAACGGCGTTTTAGCGCTGACTGTATTGGAATGGGTGGGCGGGTGCACGTTTATAGGAAGAGTCCAGACCATCATTGGAACAGGAAGGAGGGGAGGAGACAGGGATGAGGGGCAGAAGCCACCTGATAATAAGCTAAATAAGGGTGCTTTTGCAGGAGTGTGAGGACTCTGCGCTGAATTTTGCTCAGGACAATAGCTATTAGGAGTGCTAGGTTTGTTCCTGAGTCGTTATAGAGTAACTTTCTCGCTGCTGAGGTCCAATGACCTCCCTGCTATCCCCACTTTGGAAAGAACTTTGAAGGAGCAAATTAAGAGATGCGGTAAGAGATTGATTTTGCTCAAGGATAAGAGTGTGGAACGGAAAAATAAGGGAAAGGAAGATTCCAGAGTGGGACGATTTCACGTTGGGTACAAGCAGGAGACGGATTCCAAAGGAGGTGCCTAAGTTGGAAAGAGGGGTCCCAGTGCTATGGCTCTGGGATTGTTCTTGTCCACGGGTGTTGGCCCTTCCTTTAAGATCCCGTCTCTTTCCCCATAGGGACGCCCTGGGAGGAGGCTCCTTTCTCCCCCGGCACCCCGCTGGATTCCTTGGTACTTAGTACTCTGTTGTCTTTTCCACAGGCGGCCTTAAAATAAGCGCCTTGCACATTGCCCGTCTCTTCTCTCTTTCTCGCCCGCAGTCATGTCTGAGTCACAGAGATGGGGAAGCTCGACGATAACGAGAGGGTGATCCTCAACGTCGGGGGCACCAGGCACGAGACCTACCGAAGCACCCTGAAAACGCTGCCGGGAACCCGGCTGGCTCTGCTCGCCTGCCAGCCCCAAGGCGATTCCCCTGGCGGCGGAGAGGAGCACCACCAGCCGCCGCTTCTCCCCGCCCCCAACCCGGCCCCCAACCCTGGAGGCGGCGGCGGCGGCCCCCTGGATACTGTGGGCGGGAGCGGCTGGAGTTCGCGCGCCAATGGCATCGTCGTCGCACGTGGCGGGAGCGGCGCGTGCTGCGAATTCTTCTTCGACCGCCACCCGGGGGTCTTCGCCTACGTGCTCAACTACTACCGCACCGGGAAGTTGCACTGCCCGGCCGACGTGTGCGGGCCCCTCTTCGAGGAAGAGCTGGCTTTCTGGGGCATCGACGAGACCGACGTGGAGCCCTGCTGCTGGATGACCTACAGGCAGCACCGCGATGCTGAGGAGGCGCTGGACATCTTTGAGGCGCCCGACCTGATCACCGGCGAGCCACCTGGCGACCCGGACGACGACGAGTTAGCAGCCAAGCGCCTGGGCATCGAGGACGTGGGGGCTCTGGGCGCCTCCTCGTCTTCCTCTGCTAACGGGTCCCCTCTTGACGGAAACGGCGGCCGCTGGAAAAGGCTCCAACCGCGCATGTGGGCACTCTTCGAGGATCCCTACTCTTCCCGCGCCGCCAGGGTAAGCGAGAAGAGCCGGGGAAGGAGGGAGAGCGCACCTAGACAGAGAGTAGGAAGCGCTCCTAATCTTTGAAAGGCCCCCGCTACACCATCCTACATGTGCTTTTTCAAAAGAATCTCCTGAAGGAAATAGAGTTGCAACTTTTGCTGTCTTTATTTTATATATCACCACCACCACAACCACCATAAAAAGCACTTTAATGTACCTTCCCCAGTGTGGCTTCTGCCCAAAATCTAGCCAGTTTGGGGAAGGCTGCCTTTCCCCTTTCCCCCATTTCACATAAGGCAGATCAAGGCTTATAATGGTGATTCGATGTTACATTGACACAGGTAAGTGTCTTGCCAGCATATATATCTCAGGTAAACAAGCTCTTGCCATGTACACTAGACTCATATATCTATGGCTATAGCAGCTGGAATAATGATATACTAACATTACACAAAATAGCCCTGAATGATGATGGTGCTCCAGGGAAGTTATGCACATTATTTGGTATCCAGATGTTGCATAATACTGTCTTGTTGTAGTGAGTGGGTATGAAATTAGAAGGCATACCTGTCATACAAAGGGAGAGTAACTCATGGTGCCATTCCCATTGAAGACTAACCATCATTAAGTACATTGCACAAAAGTCCAAATTCTTACATCTGTATATTTGTCATGATTATTTCCCCAATAGCTCAGATTGGCATATGCTTGTGAAGTTATTTTGTATGAATAGGTCACCTGTCCATTTTTTTAAAAAAATGATGACAGTTGTTAGATGTAGGAATATGTTGACATCTGGATTTCTTGTGTGTGTGAAAGAGATGGTACCTTATGAAGGAAATGACTTAGTTTTCTGGTATCCACAAAATCAGGTGTGTAAAAGAGAACACTATTTATAAGAGATAGTGTGGGAAAAGTCTTAATAATAAAAACTGGCATGAAGCTATGTAATAATTCACTTACTATGTATTTAAATAACAAAGTTGGGAAACTTCAGAAGAATCTATAGGCCTGTCTACTGAAGTACAGAATAGAGTGTCATGTGTGTAACAAATAGCATTATCTGATTACCCGCCCCCCCTTCCTAGTCCAGGTGCTGGCAACCTAGCACTTCGAAAGCATGCAAATGGGAGTAGATTAATAGGTATCATTTTAGTGGGAAGGTAACAGAATTCCATATGCCTTTGGTTGTCTTCAGACAACACTTGCTCCATTGGCCAAGAAACGGAGAGTCAGGCACAACTGGACAGGGAAACCTTTACCTTTACTGCAACAAAACATTTGATCCTCAACAGAATACCTTATACTAGGAATAAGTTCCAGCAAAAAGGAATGAGTTACATCTACACAGAATTGATCTGAAATCTTGTAGAATAGCTATGTCAGAGAAGTAGAACAGAATGGGTAGCTTATACCTTATTGACCTGTGCTTATAACTGGCTAGCACACTTTTGAATAAACATCCAATGATAAAAATGCAAATATACCAAATAAAAAAACAGAAAATTTATTAATCACCACAAAGTGGCAAGAGTTTTCCAGAATTGTTTGAAATAAGTACTTCCTCATCTAAAACGATCCACAGAAAGCTAGAGAAACATTCGGTATTATCCATAAGCTAGATGACAATATTTGTTTGTTCAGATGCTTTAAAGTGTTGAATCCAGATGTGTAGTGTGAAAATAATAACTACTATTTTAGATTATTTAATGGATTAAAACTTTCATGGAAAGAAAATGCTACCTCTATGTAGAAATATATTAAGAGGCAATTTATTTTGAATATTAATTATTGAGGTGCAAATGACAATGGAGGATTTTTCTAGGAACAAGAAATCAAAAGAATATGAGTATTGAACATTATTTTATATTAATTCAATTTCAGAAAGTGTTGCACAGAGAAAAAATAAAATAAAACAAAAATGTGGCCATTTATGTATTAAAAGACATATTAACATTGAAAGGCTAACCTTTGCAGCTGATTGTTTAATGGATAAGCTGCTATTAAAAGTTATAAAAGTCCCTGATAATGTTATAGCAGTTAAGCAGTTTTACTTAAATTACAAATTAGTTTTGTAATTAAACCAAAAAGTTAAACTAATTTCACTTCCACTTTATTGTCTTGTCAGCTAAGTAGTGTTATTTCTGAACTTCAACTGATATTTCTATTTTATTCACTCTTTACTATAGTGTTCCAGTTGGAACTGTGAACTTAAGTACTTCATTTCTCTGCTTGTAATGGAGAGGTGGACTGTGGCTATATGTAAACTAACTGCCTATTGGAAAAGACCCTCACTGGGAAGGTTGTCTCAAGGGACAAGTGGTGTGGGTGGAAAAATGCAGTTTTAGTTATATTAAAAGCCACCACTTATATACCTTACCTATGGAATATCTCCAGTATTCCATAGGTAAGATAAATTTGTCCCAGGCTCACTTGTTCTAAGTGTAAGCAATAGGTGTAATAGAACTGCCACAAGCTAGTCACCCATCTTCCGCTTCATCTTAAGCTTTCCTTCAGGTAACCTGTTTATTCCTCCTAGCTATGGCTGCATATGACCAGCTAGCATATCCTACATATGAAAGGAACATCTATTTACATTGAGCTATTGACTTGGAGGCTGAGTAGAAGGGAGAATACTACGATACAGTGGTTTCACTAAATCTCATCTCATCAATTGCCTGCTGCATTTTTCTGGTACTGTAAAATAATTTTCTTTCAAAAGTGTCTGAACTTCACTGTAGAGAGACAGGGTGTAGAACAACGGGGTTCCATTTTTTTCACACTGTGATGGCTGGTGTGGTGACCTAAGACTAAAGAGTTGTAAAGTGTGTGTGTGTGTTTGTGTGTGTGTGTGTGTGTGTGTGTATGTGTGTGTGTGTATACATATGCACACATACACATATATGCACACATACACATACAAACACTCACACATATACGGCACATATAT